GGCATCGATCCATGCTCCCAAAATGTGAAAAGGATTGATCTATCCAAGAAAAATGGTCAAGGTATCCCATATACATTTACTCCAACAGCAAGCGAGCGGCCGATCTTCCCCGCGCAAGCGGCGAGCATTAGAGACCGTGCGGGCGCCCCACGTTAATCGTGCCAACGGCCCTTGACGACCGTACAATCGCACACACTAACGAGCGATTGTAAGGTCGTCGCTGGCCGCCCGCACGGTGCGAGTCCCTGAGGATGTGACATCATCCTACAGAAACGCTGCAAATAATGCAAGTTGTTTACAAATTGCTATTGCAGCGCCAATCTTTTTCTAGCATGTACAGCTTTAGCATACGCGGCGTTATGATTTCTCTGAAGGAATGCTTGACTGTTCCTTAGTTTGCTGGCTGAAAACACTTGTAGGCAGTCGATCAATTTTTTAATCAAGTATGAGGTTGTCCCATAATCAGTTACCGTTTTTATTACAGCCGTCGTCTTTTTGTATCCTTCCTTCAATTGATGTGACTTGAGCAATCATTCGACAGCGCAAAGGAAGCTCTTCAAGATGGCTATCAACAGTCTGCACAAATCGTATTTCACATGAAGTTCTGAGTCCCCAAAAAATCTCAAAAATTCCCCATTTATCCTAGCATATGCTTGACACATCGAGCATTCAACTGTACACTTCCCGTAACTTTCCATGGCTAGAAATAAAGAAAAATTGAATGGAATAAGATGGCAAACTCCGCTCCTAGAAGTTCTGAGCTTTTCCCACACACGTGATCATATAGCTTATACATACAGAAGTACGATCATGTATTTGTGCCCCTTGTAAGTGCGCAAGTTCTTGAGAAATGCTGATATTTATGGTAAAAACGGTCAATTATTATGGGACACCCTAAAATATTGGTGCAATAAAAGAACATAGCTAGTAAAAGTTACGTAGGTGTTTTGTACAGCTTTTCGCAAATTTCATGCCCCATAAGTGACAACTTGGACTTCCAAACGCTCAAGAATTCTTTTAAAGAATTGCTCCGCAAAAAGGAAAACAGGTCTAGAATCAATACTTGAAGACGCGTCTAGCGATTCTGTCATCAATCGCTAACTTAAGCTGGTATCCCTCCCTTACAAGGCTCTGGCCGTCCGTACGTCTACTTTGGCTTTCATGCAAGTCATGGATTGAAGGTTATCCTGAGTTCTGATGTTGGCGTCTGAGAGAACATTCCGCTAATACATCAATTTCCACGCTCTCGATGACGATAAAGCACTTGGCATAGTTGAATACGGAGTTTTCAACATCTTTGTTGCCGCTTAGGAATGCGATAAAAATTGCGTGAAGCTTTTGTAAAAGAAATAAATGTGAACGTATTCTTTGATTCAAAAAAGTATATTAACGAGCATAATCATAATGATAAGAAATGATTGATAGTTGCTATACAGTGCTGATCAATACTACAAATCCTTGAAACAACAGCACATTTAGTTAAAGTTTGTTTGTTAATCAAAGTGTCTAATGTTCCTCAATGTTCTGCACACGCCACAGTGCCATCCTTATTCAGAACGACCTCTATAATTTTGTACGTCTACGTCTTAATAAGTAAAATTTTTGCAAAACCCAAGAACTACTGCTTTATTTAAAAAAATTATTCTGCATTTTTTGAACTTGAATGCAGTGAAAGTCAATCCGTTTCAAAAGACAGTTAGTTCAGAGAATTTCATGTACTTGTCTAATGCAAAGGCTCTAAGACTCTCTGCTTTTCTAGGAATGGGATGAAATATTTCGTTTTCGATTTGCATAAGTTGGAAAACGTTCGCATTGTATTCTAAGCCATCCCGAAAGGATGCAATCTTATATATAAAGCTGAATGTCTGTATGTCTGTCTGTATGTCTGTGTGTACGTATGTTCCGAATAGAAAATTCCATTTCTGAACCGATTTGGACCAAACTTGGCACACATATACTTCGGGCAGGGAGCGTGTCATAGGCTACTTTTCGTTCTCGATCGATATCGATTTTATCGATTTTTTGCAAAATTTGAGCTACGGGGCTGGGAGTTGGCACAGGGGGGTAATCGAGCATGCTGATTACGAATATAATAATGACAGGGCCGGGCGGAGCCGGGTTTGCCAACTAGTGCAATAATATGATAGCTTGCAAAGGAATTGAAAATGCACTCTATGTCAACACCATCGGCTTTTCGTCATACTGTTGAGAGCAAGTACCGTTACCCAGTAACTGGGCTAGAAGTTCTTGATGTTCCAAAGGTTGAACTATTTGCAAGACACGAAGAGCTATTCGTCAGCAAAGCAAGCAACTAACAAAGTCAACAAGTATGTGTCAGTATGTGTCTAACTCCTCACCGATTGATGCACTAATTTTTCTCCTAATTTACTTTTGTGCTGTTTGCACTTTGCCCTAGCTTATATGTAAGATGCAAATTCGAAAAAAAAGTAACAAAAGTAAATCGGTATGCAAACCTCTAAAGTTTCAGCGTCCAGTATAAATATGTCCGAGTTGTGGCGCAGCAAAGTATCTTGCTACTCTCCTATACTTCATAGATTCTCATACATTTAAAAGGTTGTCAAAGATTTCAGTAATCTAGGCCCGTATGCACGTAGATCCCCGCGGGAAGGAGAGGGTATCCGAGAGGGGAAGCGTCATATCTCGCTAGTCTATGTATCTTTCTTCTTCTTTCTCTGTCTTGGTTTTGAAGGTTCTCATACACTGATACTTGCGCATATCACCTCACATTTTCAAAGTTATTTATCTTTCTGAAAACTCGATGAAAAGTTCTAAAAATGTACTGTGGATATACTACAGCACTGCTAACATATCAAAATCTTCGATGAACCGCTGCTCGCGAGCCAGGGATTACCGAAAAATTAAAAGCTTAAGATTCCATTTCTTCTGTCGAAAACATGCTCAGCAGTATCGTAGTATATCTTCAGTACAATTTTGCAGCGTTTTCATTCACTTTTCAGAAAGATAAACGACTTTGAAAGTGTGAGATAATCCCCTGGGGATCCCCAGGGGATCGGAAGAAATAGCGAATATTTAATTTTGTATAGCAGTAACCTGGCATCCATTATGCGCAGGTATAAGGGTATGAGAACCCTCATAAGCACGATAGAGAAGAAAGAAGAAATATCTGGAGCAATGAGATATAATTCCCCTCTCAGATCCCCTCCCCTCCCCGCGGGGATGTACGTGCATACGGGCCTTAGTGTTACTTTCCAAAGTAAGATTGGAGAATTTTGTTTGGTTTCGTTTAAATCTTCTACTCATTTGGTTGCAAAAAGTAGAGGGTTCAGGTTGTTAGCATCCTTTCTTACGATGCCCGCTGCATTATCTCACAGTTGCAAAGAAAGCGTTCAGAAAATTTTTAAGTAATGGAAAGCGAATCCATTTTCAGAAGAGAATACGATTGTGCTTATTTTAATGTGCGCTCTCTATGTTTAGTGAAAAAAGTTTTCTACTGAGTTACAGAAGTCATTAAATTCACAGATCCTTTCTTTGTCAATGATGGGGCGGTTGAACACAACAATAAATTCAACCTTATGTCCATATTTGGCAAAATCTGATGCTTCGATAGATTTAAATCACTGTCACATTACTATAGCAGAGTATCAAAACAACTCAAACTAGCTCCCACGCTGATTTGGATAACGTAGACTCACATTTATGGGTTTCTGCTGACTCATCCTAATTTGCTCTGTGAATCAAGAATCGGACGTTGCTTGAACTACTTCATAGTTACCTTACTAAATAAAAAAGGCTCGCAAAGGTGCGGGTTAAGTTTTTGGCAGTATTACTTGGAAGGATTTGATCCGACAAGGAAATAAAAATTGTTAGTGTACTGTCATAGGGTATTTTATGGCTTGATTATTTTTTTTATTTTTTATATTTATTTTTAATAATACACTCAGGGTGCACCAAACAAAGAACAGGAGAAAAACTCAAACACGTCTAACAAAACATGATAAACAGTGAACGTTTAGGAGAACGGACCACATAGGATTACGATGAATTGTAGAAATTTTTTTTTACCAGGGCTGTTTCTTCTAAATTTAGTCTTTGAAATACATTTACTGTATAACCTGTGCACACCATTTGTACAGCATCATTGAATATTCAATAGTCGCTTTGTACTAGCTTGTATACAAAACATGTATCTCTACCCTGCTTGATGAAATGATAAAGGCGAAAGCGACTAACAGTTCTTGTTGGCTAAATATTAAAGTTGAACGTAAACACAAGCAATGCGTAAACAAGCAAGCACAAACACAAGCGCCACTTGACTCTGCCATTTTGAAACACTAGGAAAAGTCAATGACTGTTTTTACTATGATCATGCATTGAATTTTTTTGCCCACGTAAGCCTTCAAAACCCCTTGCTTAGAAGCCCGCAGTAGATAAGAAAGGTAGATTTGTAATCAGCGTTTCATACTTTTCAAGTCAGTATACATCTCATACAGATATGTCACTTCGACTAAACTTTCTTTCCTTGTAAGAGTAGACCTGCTCGCTTCTTCCTGACTTTCTCATTTTTAGCAAACATCCCTCTAAAATAAAGGTTTGTACTATTTACCACACTCATCACGTATCACATAAGCGTACGGGAAACCGTGTCAGCTTGTCTGTCAGCTCAAGCCGCAAAAAACATAGGAACAATTTCATCTTATAGGTGTAACAGGAGAGCAACAACGGTATGTTGAAGCTGCTATTACTCCTTGCTTTTGCCATGGCAATCGCTGCAGCGCGTAAAAATTCGAGTTTATAATATAGGAAACAATTTTTGAATGTTTAGCTTGCGCCATGGAAGATATACCTGGAGTAAGTAAGGCCAACATGGATAAACTGCGTCAAATAATGGATGTATGGCTTTTTTGTTGTTAGGTGTAGACTCGATTCTTGGTCACAAATAAAATCTTAGTTTTCTATCAAGAATGAACTGTTTCAGCGAAAAAATAAAGACTAAATGGCTTTTTCGTTATAAAGTGCACATGCTTGACCTTGATATAGGTGCTAATGAAAATAATGAAAGCAAAGTGATTTGTATACCATTTCAGCCTCGACTGAGGATCAAAGAATGGGAGAACAGTTTACCGACAGCGGAAAAGGTTAATTTTTATTTTTTTTCAAAATTTTTACTGCTATCATCCAAAAAGTATCATTTCAGGCTGCAGCTATAGCTTACAGAGAACAAATACACGAAAAACATCATTCTGGTAGGCTCATGTCTTGAACCAACCACGATCTAATACTAAAAAAAAATAAAAAAAAATCAACAGACCTTTGAAATGATGAGAATTTTTGCAAGCAAATTTGTAAACCTTTTTTAGAGTTCCTTAGCAGAGACATTCCTGGTGTGAGCAAAGCTAGTATGGATAGGCTACGTCAGATAATGAACGTGAGTCTTCTGAAGATATTTCTAATCTTGAAACAAAGCAATTTTTCTGTGTTCTGAAGCATTAAAAACGTAAATGACTAGAAAAGAAGTTTGTTAATTATAGCCAAGACCAGAAGGACCAGGAGAATTTGAAAAGAGAATAAACGAATGGATAGATAGTCTACCACCAGAGGATAAGGTAGTTTACCCACTATTAATTATATTATCCAGTATAAAAGTCAGCGCTTTAGGCCGCGGCAGAAGCGCACCGAGCAGAAATGCATCAAAAACGTGGACCTCCTCCTCCTCCTTCGTCCTAAAATTATACTTAAGACGGACCACGTAGTCTGGATAGTGCATTTTTATTATTGTCGTGCCGTAGCTAATAAAGAAAAATTTAGCGATATTTTTGCACACTGACGTCAAATTACCTCCGCTAACACTTTAGTTCCATTTTGACGGAATATTGTAAGAATTTGAGTACTTGTGTGGAGCATTTAAAAAATCGGTATTTCTGCAATCAAAGCAGGACTTCAAATCCAGTAGCAGCTGTGGTCATCATCACGGAACAGTGCACGGTTAGAAAGCTTATTTCATCCCAATCCCCTTTAAGCTATCAAACGCCTGAGTCATATCGTCAGCCAAATTTTACTTCTCTTCATGATTTCTTGTTATGTTCAATTGTGCTCTATGCAGCTTGACGGCTGAATTGGACTTTTTGCAATTAGGTATGCTGGACAGTAAGCATTAACGGAGTTTTAACATTAAAGCCAGAATTACTTAGAAGCCGTCAACGGAATAGTTCATCAACTTGCAGTAAATTACTGACGCAATTGTGTACAAAAAGTTCCAGCTGATCATGTTCAAAGAGCAGTACACAAATCTGCATTAAGATCGCATATGTTTAAGGCTGAAACAGATGCAAAATACTTTGTCTTTGAACGTTTATAAAGCGAGCAGCAATTTCGAACGAAGATGGTTGTTTTGATGAAGCTAATCAAATTTGCTCAAACATTTTCTCTAAAGCCAACGCTAGCCAGAAATGATAAGGTAGAAAATGACAATTTGTAAGCTAATATCAGCAGGATCGGTTCAAAGCACACAGCTGCAAAAAATGAGATGGGCTGCATCAATCAACATTTTGAAGGTTCTTGTATCGTTGTTGCATGTGTTCTGCGGATTAGCTCTGAATATGACACATTATGATCTGCTTTCACCTAACACTTGCAGTGTCCTGGCAGATTCGCACCCTAGGGCATGTAATTAGCTGCGGTTGGGTTCCTGGTCACCCCACTAACCTCCAGGCTGGTTAATGTTCCACGCCGAAAAAATGGCTTTCGAAGCGGATCGGCGCGCGCTCAGACGACTTCTCTTATTGTTAGCTGTTCGGCGCGGGATGGCTTTCGAATCGGAAAAGCGCGCGCTCAAATGAATTCTCTTAGCTGTTCGGCGTGGGACCCCGCTACGACTCTTCGCACTGTGCATGTTGTCTAAAGCAAAAAATTACAAACGGCATGGTCCGTGCCTGGGCACTCCATTTTCATTGAAATTCTCGTCCAAGCTGCCTTACGGAAGTTGGGTAGACACCCCGAAAGAGGTCTTTTCACCCGCTCCAAGCTTAAATTCGGGGTCTACGAGTCGAAAAGGCCCAGAACATGCAAAAAGATGGAAGTGCAGAATCTGCCGGGACACACACTGCCTTTACATTTAGGCTGCGTTCATACTGATCCCGAAGTTCGGGAACAGTTCCAGCACAACGTTCAGTTCGAGCGCTGTGCTGGAACTGTTCCCGAACTTCGGGATCAGTATGAACGCAGCCTTACATTGTCTTCTGCAAACTGAATGCAAGTAAAGCAAAAATTGGATCATCATCAAGTTGGATGTGACCAACTCTACGTAAATCATTCAACGTTTGAAAGCGGTTGAAAAAGAGAATTTAGAAATCAAACTTAGATTCTTTGATTTTATGCAACATCTTTAACCACATTATTTTCGATTTACTTTTGAATCTTATATCGTCGCATCCAAAAAACCTATCGCTAAGGTTGCCGACTTGCCAGTGATTCATATACAGTTATTGCAAGAATGAATCCACAAAAGTATTTTTAATCGATTATAACTCTTTTCCCAAAGTCTTTTGTTTACCTTTAAGTAACATTCTGCAGAGCAGTTGCTTCAGCTTGGATTTACAGTATGAGGCAAATCACTTAGGCCCGTATGCACTTATATCCCCCGCCGGGAGAGGATGTACGTTTTACCGTTGAAATAATCCCCGCTGGGGTTCTCCTTCCCTCCCCGCGCGAGCCCCCATATGCACGCAAACAATCCAACGAAGAGATCCCCTGGGAGTATTCCGCTTTTCTCATCTTTTGACAGCTACTCATCTTCACATCGCATCGAATTTGAGCGTTGCGAAATGCGCGTCTGTTATGACTGCGCTCCAAACAAAAATAGTATTTTCTACGCTCGTTAAATTCTTGTTGTTTTCATGGATGATGCTCAATTCGCTCGTGCTGCCCATTTTAGAGCCGCACGCACTAACATTTCCACTAAGAAGGGAATCACAGTCTAAAAGAAAGCTTCATATCCTAAAGCTTCAGATGAGTATTCCCACCATCCTTCACTATTGAAGGCACCGTCTACCCAAAGTGGGAGGTTGACAAGATTATGATGGCATACTAGCGTGGGCCTCCACACTAGGCAAACTCCCAAGTTGCGAGAAAAAGAATACTCAGGAACAAGAAATCCGCTCCGGAAGGGACGCAATTCAGTGCTGGTCACTCCGCCCGGCTGGTCATCGCCCACTTTGCAAGTCTGCAAATGATGCGTCCAGCCCCGTTACTCGCCGCAGCCCCGTTACTTGCATTGCACCCTTCCCCGCTTGTTCCCCAAACGTGGGTATTGGAGGTTTCGCGGATTCTCGACTCCATATTCGAAATCAGGGCCTTCCTCTGGAAGCGAGAAAAACATGGGAGTCGAGAATTTTGGGTGGACTGTGTCTTTGAGCAAAGCTTCGAAAAACTTTTTAACCGCATAACTTGTGCTCTGTATCTAAAAACTTATAGGCAAGAAAAATATTCGATAATGCTTTCTAAGCTTTTCTAGTGATAACTTGAATGACCAAAGAATTTTCATTATCATGACTTATAATAAAGCGCTTAGCGTCTGTCTTTTTGTCCGTGTGTGCTTGTATGTTTGTCTGTCACGAAATTCATAGAGGAAGGTGCAGCCAAGCTTTCGAGCTACAATTTTGCTCAACATACCGCACCAGTATGTAGGTCCACCGTGCACAAGGACGAGCCGGTTCGATAAGCGGGTTCTTCAAAATTTGCGCCTCAAACGGGTTCACGCGGCTTTTGGCAAACAAAACTGTCGCTACTTCGACTTTTTGCAAAGCCATGATTTGCCTGCCAAGTAAATCTGTGCCCCATAAATTCCAGCCTAAAAAGTGCTCAAAAATGTTTGCTTTCCCGCAAAAAAGAAGCGTCAAAATGTGGTGATCGCCTAAGAAATCAATTTGGCAAGGTTTTACCTTGAAATTTGAAAGGATTTTTACACGGAAATGTAGCTCAGAGTGACTATTATCTTCATGACGACCAACCCAAAAGAAATTTAGTAACCCGTTCAAATTCGCAGGTGTTCCTTTGTGAAAAAGTCTTTCTTCTCAAAATTACCGATCTTTCATGGAGATGCTCTAAGAATGAACAGTTGTTTACGATTCATTTGTGATGTTCAGCATCGCATAGTGGGTTTTATAGTCATCATTGAGCGAGCATGAGAAAGGCACACGGATAGGAGAGAAAAGTGCGAACCTCCGCGAAGCGAAGGTGCCGCACTGGTTTAATATAAAAGAGGCAGTTTGTTAAAAAAAGATTTGCCGCAAATTTCAGCTTAAAAATCATGTTTTAGCGACAATTTTTGGAGATGAAAAGTTGAGGTAAGTTGCATATGCATGGATAGAATGTAAAAGGCTTTATCTGAATTAACCGCTAAAGGTAAGCACATTGTTCAAGCCTCCTCACCCATCGCAACACAGATGTTTTTCGTGCTGCTGAAGGTTTGAGATTATTTGAACTGACGAACTTTGATGTCAAGCACTTTGTAACGCCATGCAACAATTTATCTATAGCCTAGCCCTCTATTGGATGTTTGGATCTTGCTAACATATGCCAAAGCTAAAACATTGAGTTTTCTGCTTAAGAAAGCTGCATTCATCCTTTAGGTGCCCCCCTTTACTTCTGGACCCAAACAACCAGCGATACTTTGGCCTAACGATAAAGGTTTGAGCTTTTAAACTAGTCATTCTGGAATGTATTCATTAACGACTCAAAAATCGCTTCAGAGTTCTCACCGCAATTGTACAGATGGGGGATGATTGAATATATGTAAGTGCCCATTATGCCAGCCTTCTTATCCATAAAGCAAGTCGAAATGTGTCTTCCTCATTTTGCAGCTTCTTCGCTCTTCCCAGGCGGTTTTCAATCTCAAAAAATGAACGGCTGCAGAGCGCCTGAGAGCAGGATGCATACCGGTGAGGGTTGTTTCACCGCAGCAGTCCGCAGCAGTCTGCAGCAGACTGCAGCTGACCGCACTGACCGTACCGCTCGTGCCTCCTTTCGTAAAAAAACAACCGCCATTATAAAAACAGCGTGATCTAAGCCCCTAAGAAGATCATAAGTTCCATCACAATGCTTCTCAATCAAAATTTGGTGATAGCTTTTCTTTGATACGTTCGTATTTGTTCTAATTTCTCTTATCATTGCAATACCTGTTTTGTAAGATTCTAGCCCGTTTGTCTTTTGCTTTTAGGTATATATTGTTGTTGTTTGCTTGCCACAACTATCTATCCCCTCCACCTTTAGGGTTGTCTCAAACTGCCACACTGACCGCAGCAGACTGTAGCAGACCGCAGCTGGCTTCAGCAGACTGCAGCAGACTGCAGCTGACCGCACTGATCAAGTGGCCGCATCGATCGCTGCATCCTTTCGTAAAAGAGAAAGCAACTGTGATTACGCCAAACACCGTGACTTAAGCCTAGAAGGATAAGTTCACTCTTCTCAATCAAACTTTTGCGATTATTTTCCTTGTATGTTCGTATTTGTTCTGATGTTGAACGTGAAATCGTCACAGACGAACTGTACGATTTTGCTTGAAGAGACATTGTTATGAAAATTATATAAATAGATCCTGCATTCATTGTCAGCTACTGGACTTGATGCGAGGCTGGTTTTTTGGAGTGCCTTTTGCAGTTTATATTTCCCAGTCAAATGGATTGTTCACATTTCCACCGCTTACTAGTGCTCCTTCTTCTATGAGTCTGTATATATAGGAGTAGTCAACATGATCGTGATGAAGGAGTGTGTTTATGTAACATGAGAATTTTTTCAAGTTCTTCTTTGCACCTCATATTTCCAAATTGAGCAACCCTTTTTTCTTTTCGTATCTTTCTTCATTCTCAAAACTTCTTCTTTTCGCTGTATGCCTTCCGTAGTAAACAATGTGGCACTGCAATATCAAGTAGTAAATAAAAAATGATTCAAAATCGTCTTTTGATCCCATTTCAGTATTTCTATGGCAAAACACCGAAGCAAAGCGAATTGTGCTCTTTAATTTTACTGTCACTCGTAAAGTTTTAAGCTCTCCCTTATCATTCAAAATCCTTCGAACAATTCCGAAATCTAGGATGTAGATCGCATGTTTCTTATCTCTCAGACCACAAGCGCAGTTAGCAGGTTTTGAATCTCGATGTATGAAACAGTTTTTGTGAAGATATTCGCAAGCTTCTAGACACTGTGGATGCTCCTAAGCCGGTAGCAACACTAAATACTCGTCCCGGTCGTCGATTTTCTAGGTCCGCTAAGCTTTCTCCTATCAATTCCATAACCAAAAAGAAGTACGTCTCCTTCTTTCCTCGATCCATTATTGTGACAAAATGTAATTGTTTGCGTTCTTGTGATACAAGTTCTAAAATTGCTATCTCCATTTTCAGTTTTGAATGCCTCCGTGTTTCAGGTTTCTTCTCTACATTCATTGCAAATACTTTAGTAGGGTCTTTTTGGTCGTGAACCTTGAATACTCCAAATCCTTGCTCCAAATTTAATTTAAATGCTCCAAATCTTCCTTTTCCAAGCAACTTAAAAACAACATAGTCTGCCTTGCTCGAGTCAATGACACTGCCCGGCTTGATTCCAAGGCCGTCTTCTTCCTCGCTAATCATGTTGATGGCACTGCGGGAACGTTGGAGCTCAAAAAAATGACCTTTCCTATTACTGCACATGACTGTTTTGTAATACTCCCGCTCGTATTAACTTTTGGTTTTAGGCGTGTTGTTGTTGTTTGCTTGAGCTTCAACTTATCCTCTCCACATAGGCTTCATGGATAGCAAGATCGATCGCGAAACGCTCGCCGCACTAGTGGAGTCGGAACCGTGCTTATGGTATCTAGGTCACGATCATTTCCACAGAAGGGACAAAAAAGATGAAGCTTGGGAGAAAATTGTCGAGAAGGCGAGACGCAAAGGAATTATTTGCGATGGTGAGTAAGTGACAACTGTTTCAGTGAAGTACTGAAAGTGTCAATGGAGGCGATGCGGGACGGGTAAAAAAGATCGAGAAACCCAAGAAGCGGTTCAGCGGAAAGATCTAGTGGATTCAATCAGAGTCTGAACTTTCTGGATTAAGCTGATGTGGTAGGGTATGTGAAAAATCTGACAGCTCGTAATTCCAGAGTAATGTTCTACTTTCAGAGTGCGTTCATCAAATATTGAAGAAATGGGAGAAAATTCGGATTATCATCAAGACGAAAACGGTATGGTATCGTGATTCAGTCTTACAGTCGGACTTTATCAATTTCAGAACCTCCGCCACCAAACTGGGAAGGGACGAGAGTGATTTTTCTGAAAGCAGTAGCGTTGGAAAAACCTATGAGCCGAAAGCATCTACTCTAGGTCAACGAACTACTTAAGAATGGGAGACCTCCACCTTTACGAAAAAAAGATGTCCGTCCGATAGCAGATCCAAAAAAGAAGGGAACGATAAGGCAAATGGTGAGTGCATCCCGTTTCTTCCTATGTAATTCACTCTTTGCAGAACGTAAGTCAGTCCTCGAAGCTGTGGAGATGGTGAAGGCAAATGCGACGCGCTTAAACCCTTACAACGACGAATACAGCCATTTTGGTTGGTACTTGGTAGATCTTCCAGGCGCGCAACAAAAATCATCTCTTTAGTAGATTTTGTGGGACACGTCTTAGGAGATTTTGGAAAGGAGGTGCCAGATCGAAATATCAGAACATTATTGAGGTTTCTTTTGGCACCAACACAACGATAGGCGAGATCAGCCACCTCATCCCTGAGAATGGTTTCCTTACAATGATGAAATCGAAGTTTTGGAAGAAGACAGGCAATCAGATTAGTCAGTCTTGCAAATTCTACCACTACCTCTCTTTTGCATGTTGTTTTTCTTGCTTCGCAGTACGTATATGATCGACCATCACCGAAGTCTCAAAACTTGCTTGCCAATCCCTTTTGCTCAGCTATTCCGATTCTCATATGAAGTGTCTTTTGACTCTGTTTTCAGTGTGCCTTTAGATCCCTTTTTCACACTCAGAAACACGTTGTTTATAGACACTCGATGATAGAAGTCGTTTATCCATGATTTGAAGATAATAATAAGTTGTTCAAGGATGATATGTACGCACAAGGCAGTAAGAAAACGAAGCATTCAAAATCTCGCAGGCCCATCCTTATCGATATAATATTGCGTGAGCCGCTCCTTTGCTCTATTAGCCGATTCCGTGCCTCTGGTTTTTCTCTTTGAAGGGGATGTTAGGCGGCGTTCAATGCTGGCTCAAACCTCTGGACAGCCTCTAAAGAGTCTTGCCTTCGCGGAAGTGAGTTGTGAAGAATCTGAGACAAGTGGTAGTTCCCCTGATTTTTTTATGAAGTTGTAGGGAAGTCACATAAGTCATATTACAAGTCGCTGAGTTTGAACGGGATCCAAGTTCATGCCGACACATCAATTCTTGGAACCTCTGAGCACGAGCCAAATATCTGTTCTATTATTTGACGTGCACTAAAGCAATTATTAAGACATTATATAATGCTCATGCAACAAAACTAAATTCACCCGCTCAATTGCTGAACCTAAATGTGATATTGAACGGGTTCAAGCTCCAAGCGGGATTACATCGTCGTGTCTGTCCAAGAATCTCTAAAGCTTTCCAATGTAGAGCACCAAATTCGAGCCAAGCACAAACCTTCAGAGCGGAGTCGCAAAAGACTCCAGCGTCACCAGCGCGGCCGGAGCTCCCACATCATTGGCGATGATGCAGTCGCACAAAGCCAAGAGCATGATAGAAGGGTAATGTTGGTAATTATAAAAGATACTACCCGAGCGCGCAGGTTTCCGAATGGAACGTCTCCAAAATTGATGAAAATCGTGTACGGAAAAACCTTAATGTGGATATGATTGATTTCCCATCTAGGAAGCCTACAGCTCTCGGGTAGTCAAATTTTTTCTGCGTTATTCGGGCAACTTGTATGAATTTGCCACGCTTGATACGAGGAAAGGCTTCACTATGCATCTCTGAATCTGTGCGTTTTACGTAGTTCTCAATGCAAATTCAGATCCAATATTATAATTGCTTCTGTCACCTCCCTAACAATAGCTGCTACTGTCGAGATACCAATTCCTATGTCTAAGGCGTAGGCTTTGAATGTAATTCCTTGCATCACATATCTAGAAAACATAGCCGAGAAGCGTAAGGTTGGCAATTTGCAATTGATTGTTAACCATCACTTTAGGTATATCATTAGTATGTGGCGACCGCTAATGGGACCCTCTTGCGTAGTGAAGTGCTCTAATCGACTGCCAGTTCTCTGGTACAGATTCTTGAACTCATTGAGCAGCTGTTTTATGAACTCCAAAAAAGCCTCGGATCTTCGAGTAACCAAGTACTCATCAAATAGTCGAAACCGCGACCGAATGAAACGCACTTGCTCTTGATGCACGTACTGTCGCTTTCGAAATTGTGGAGACGGTGTAGAGGGATCATCTAATGCTTCGTACAGGAATGCAAGACTTTTAAGAAGAATTGAGAGAGTCGCAAGACTCATTCCGCAACACAAGTATTGTCAGGTGCAGTTTTGATAGCACACATTTATAAATTCGCTTTGAAACATAGTGAATTTGAGTACTCAACTGCACAGAGACGGCTATGGTGCACGACGAAGATGATGGGATCTAGTCAAAGAAGATCACCAAACACCAAACACCAAACAACATCAAACAACAAAAGTGCAATACTTCCACGCGAAATCATATAGAAGCACTGGATGGATCGTAGGAATGGAAGAAAGTTGAGTTTAGAATGGAGAATTTGTAAGATGTCCTGTCCTGTTTCACATACGTAGCTTCTCCTTCTGCACACCAAGAGGTTCACATATCCAAAAAGTATGTAGAAACGGCTGATGGCAGTGAAAAAACAAACGTAGAATATGAAGAGAAATGAAGTGGAAGCAGCGCGGCCTTTAAAGAGACACGCTGTAGATAAATAAAATAATAGACAAACCTTGGTCGAACGCCATGGATCACTTAAAATAGATATTTTTCTCACTTTTTCCGCTAAATTTATGGTAAGCGCATTGGCTTTCTGACCAAATCCACAACTTCGCAAAAAGTACATACAATTCCGAGCACATTAGGTCGGTCAAAAGTCGCGTGGACCCTTTTACGCGCAGTCTTTAAAGGTTCCAATTATCGGATCAGCTTGGGCTTTGCACTGTTTACCTACATGCATGCTACATACACATACACATACACATACACATCCACACAAACACACAACATACATATACACATACACATACACATACAAATACACATACACATACACATACACATACACATACACATACACATACACATACACATACACATACACATACAAATACACATATACATACACATACACATATACAATACCGCTCACAGAATGTGCAAAATTTCCGTGAATGTCGCGCGAAAATTCCGCGAACTTTCCGTGAATGTCGCGAAATTCCGAAAATTCCGCGAACTTTCCGGAATTTCGCGAAATTTCGGGAAGTTCGCGAAGTTTCGCGAAATTCCAGGAATTTCGCGAAATTTTCGGAATTTCTTTATATTCACGGAAATTTTGCACATTTTGTGAGCGGTATTGTACACATACACACACATACACATACCCATACACCTATACACATACACATACACATACACACGAAGTGCTTTATTATAAGTCATGATCATGTATTAGCATATTCCACACGACACGAAGAAAGGAACTATTTTCATAAAGTACAATATATAGTAGACTTGCTTTCGATAACAACCACTTAAGCTTTGCAGGGCTATATAAACAGGGATAAGGTATTCCACAAGATGCTCGAGGAGCCCATATATAGCAGATACTTTGGCACACTTTCAGTTTGCATATCTTAAAAGATAGCCAATGATAACGGAGAGACTTGTATTAACAGTAAATTTGCACGTACCAAGTGAGCAAATAAATCTGAACAATTTCTGCAAGACATTAATTACACCGACCTTGATGCAGGAAACTAAATATAACAAAACGAAAGCACACAACTTTAAAATGTTGAGATAATTCAAATGGCAGTCGATTCACCTAGATTTAGGCCGTCTCGAGAGTACTTCCGCTTTCTTTCACGGCTGCCACAATGGGTAAAACAATAAATTTTAGATGTGCTCGGTACCATTTAATGCACTTTCTATTCTATTTCAAATGTTCAAGTCCATATCGCAGTGCAGTGAAAGAGCAAGGAGCTCCTGAAATACCCAAATTCAAGAATCGTGCTTTTTTACCATGGTCAAACTTCCTAAATTTATAAAATTTTATACAGTCACTCGAAAAGTCTAATAACGTATGATTAGAGCAAATTTTATTAAATATAAAACAAGTCTTTTCCCTTCCATAGCTAGCCTTTCAAAGTTTTCAGATTTATTTTTTAACGCTATCAAGTTCTATATTTGTTAACTCAAAACCCGTAGTACATCCACCGACAAGCAACTTGAGCGCCATTCAATGCAGCATTTTCAGGTGCTTTTTGTTTCTAATTAGTGACGTCTTCAGGAATGAAATCGACACAATCCATGTTTTTGAACGCACCTTAGCCTATATCCGAAAAATTTGAGATTTGCTATTTCGAATTCGTAGGCGCTTATTTGCTTTGTAGTATACGTGCTTGATTATTTTTGCAAACTTCGAATTCCGAAATTTGTTGATGTTCGACGCGTTGATTTTGCAAAAATGGTTTAGGTAATTGGCTGCCGCCGAGCCTCCTTATTCTAAATTCTAGGAGGTATGAGCTCGCAAAAATTTTGAAAAGCACCCCAATTTCGGAGTGCTGGCTGACTCCACACCTTATTTGAGAAAAAAATTGCCGCCCCCCTCCTCCAGGTCGGAAAACCCTGGGATCGCGACTGCTCTACACTAATCTTTTGAAAGTTTTCTTGCGAAGTTTCTGATGAAGAACGACAAGAAAACTACATTACCGATATACTTCTTAGCTCCGAAACTGGTTGCGTGCAAAAGTTGAACCTTAATGTAATCTTATTTGTAGAAATTATAAAAATCTTTTCCCATTGACTTTAACATCCCATCTGTTGTTCTTTTATAGTAGCTGGATCATACCAGAGTGGACCCAGAAATCACTTTGTGTCATAGCTTTTGCTTTAAAAGTCGCAAACCCGTTTTCTAAAACAGAGGAACTAGAAGCTTTTTATGGCAAAGGACATAAAAATTTCGAATTACACAGAACTAACTCGTATGTTTGTGTGCAATCTGGATTATAGGTCCACTCTAAAAAGTGCCATAACTCACTCTGTTATTAATAAAATGTTCCAAGATTTGGTACCCGTGTGTTTATTAGCCTACTATCAGTCCTCAAA